CTATATTATCTGGATTCCCATATTACTAACAAAGCATTGAAAAGTACATTGTAAGCGGGGCATGGTGGCTCAGACCTGTAGTCCTAGCACTTTGTGAGGCTGAGGTGGGTGGGTAACTTGAGGTCAGGAATTCAAGGCTAGCCTGGCCAACATGGTGAAACCTTGTCTCTACTAAGCACACACACACACACCACACACACACACACACACACACACAAATAGCTGGGTGTGGTGGTGTGTACCTGTAATCCCAATTATTCAGGAGGTTGAGGCAGGGGAATTGCTTGAACCCAGGAGGTGGATGCAGTGAGCTGAGATCATGCCACTGCACTCTAACCTGGGCGACAGAGCAAGACTTTGTCTCAAAAAAAAAAAAAAAAAGAAAAGGAAAACACATTTGAATAAATAATGTACAACGAGAAGGTATTGGGAATATGTTAGCTACAAATTTTCCATGGTGATTTAGAAAAAACATTTTTAGATTGGTTTCCTTGGTCAACAGTACTTTCTGAGGGCTCATTGTGTAAAAAGCTTTCTATAGCGAGCTGCGGTGAGAAGACAGAGAAATAAGGAACATAATCTCTGTGAAAGGCAACTGATCCATTCTCCCAGACCAGCGGATTGAACATGCACATTAACCTGATGTAGGCTGAATATGCATGAACTTGGGAGAGAAGATATAGGAGCTTTCCTTAGGCATTTACCTGGTTCAGGAGACGGGGTTCAGTATTACTGAGTTCAAGCCTTGGTTTTGCCTCTTTTTGCAGTATAACCCTGAGTAAGTTTCTTTACTTCTTTGAGCCTTGGTATTCTTATATGTATAAACAGGAGGTGATGATAGCCTCATAGAAGTATTGTGAAGGGCATAGCATTGTTTCTGATACAAAGATATGTTCAGTCAATTTTAGTTCTTAAATATATGAATACTCAGAGTAATATTAGATGTCAGTATACTTAACCCAAACAAACACGTGCAATAGCCCTTACACTTTTAGACTGGGCACTTGTTAGTTTCCTATACCCTTTTCCTCCACTCTCCGCATGATTTTTTGGTTATCTGGCAAATGCACAAAAGGAAATCACATGTAGCTGCGATTTTACACCGTAAAATACTCAGAAAGTCACCTTAGAGGAAACCAGTACTTCTAAGAAAAAGCAAAGCCATGAAGTTCAAAAAAAGAAAGCTCTATGGTTGGCCAGTTGCCCATCTTGAAGTCCCAAAAAGATCCTGTGATCATTTGGTAAACTGACTAAATTGCTGTGAAATCAAATTCCCGGAAATGCCTCCAAATAGAAAGGTTGATGGGCACAGAGGAAAGGGACCAGCCACAATGGGTGGGGGTGGGGTGGGATGGAATGGAATGGAATGGAGTGCTCACTGGGCCTGGGAAGTCCCATAGACAGGCTGAGGATAGAGCACCCAGGACCAGTTATTCTGTGCATAGGGCAGGATGATATCAGCCATCAAGTCTCCAAATGCCTGTAGTGACACTGAGCCCGAGGCCTGGCAGTCTCATCCTAGAAACTTCCTATCTCTTCCTGTGTTTCTACCATTGACTAAACTTTGGGTCAGGATATTCTTCAGTTTATAAAATAATTTTCCAGATGAGAGAATTTCTATGACAACCAATCCATTGAACATGCAAAATCTAAGTCCTTCATTGCTTGTTAAAATTTGATAAACTCATTTAAAAATGGTTACTGTGTTTTCTTCTAGAAAGCCTTCCCCCTCGCCCCAATCCTGTAAAACAGTGTAATTGCCTTGGCAAGACAGTCTTGTGGTGGAAATGGAAACATGGTGTGATGCAATGACATGACTTGTAAGAGGGGCCAGTAGCTTCTGAGGTGGTCACACCCCTGGAGTCTGTGAGTGTATTAGTCCATTTTCATGCTGCTGATAAACACATACCGGAGACTGGGCAATTTACAACAGAAAGAAGTTTAATGGACTTACATTTCCACGTGGCTGGGAAAGCCTCACAGTCATGGCAGGGGTCAAGGAGGAACAAGCAAGTCATGTCTTTCATGGATGGCAGCAGGCAAAAAGAGCTTGTGCAGGGAAACTTCTGTTTTAAAACGATCAGATCTTGTGAGACTTACTCACTATCAGAACAGCATGGGAAAGACCTGCCCCCATGATTCAGTCACCTCCCACTGGGTCCCTCCCAGAACACAGGGGAATTATGGGAGCTACAAGATGAGATTTGGATGGGGACACAGAGCAAAACCATATCACTGAGTATTCACAGGTTGTAACAGAGGCCCTTTTTATAGTTGAGTAGGGCTGGGATGCTGCAAAAGTAAAACAGTACAGATAATTTTAAAAATTAACTCTAATGGAAAAAAAGCATCCCAGTTGGAGTGTGGAGGGCAGTGCATGCTGTCCCTACCACCAGCGATGTGACCTGTGATTTCTTTAAACTTGTTTCCTTGTTTGAATAATGGTACTGATACAGTCTTATAGGTTCTTTTGCAAACTGTTAAAATACTTCACAAATATTTGGGTAGTAACCTGTGTGTACATTTACACTCCCATGACATTATTACATTGTAATTTTATTCTACATCTTTAAGCAAGTGACTCTACTCTCAAACTCAGTACATCTAAGCCAATATATTTATAGAGGGGAGAATCCTGTGCTCAAGTGGCACAAATACTGATTTGAGAGTTAGAGAGCTCAAGTATTATTTCTCCCATTTGCTTCCCTCCCTCTCTCCCTCCCTCCCTCCCTCTTCCTCTCCCTCTCCCTCTCTTCCTCCCTCTCCCTCTCTCTCTCTTTCCCTCCCTCCCTCCCTTCCCTCCCCTCCCCTCCCCTCCCCTCCCCTCTCCTCTCCTCCCCTCCCCTCTCCTCTCCTCCCCTCCCCTCCCCTCTCCTCCCCTCCCCTCTTCTCCTCTCCCCTCCCCTCTCCTTTCTTGTTTTCTTTCTTTTCAACAGAGTCTCACTCTGTTGCCCTGGCTGAAATGCAGTGACATGATCATGGCTCACCATAGCCTCAACCTCCCAGGCTCAAGGGATCCTCCGTTTTAGCCTCCCAAGTAGCTGGGACTACAGGTGCATGCCACCATATCTGGCTGATTTTTGTATTTTTTGTAGCGACAGGGATTTGCCATGTTACCCAGGCTGGTCTTGAACTCCTGGGCTCAAGTGATCTGCCCGCCTTGGCCTCCCAAAGTGCTGGGATTACAGGTGTGAGCCATTGTGCCTGGTCTCTCCTATTTTCTATTCCATATGAAGAGCTATAATCAGGTTTTAAAAAAGGTAAAGTATCCATAGGAAGAGAGGGATGCTGGAAGTTGCATATGCACTGAGCTGTGTTTTTGTTGCATCTCAGATGTTAGGATCCTACCGTATAACATTTTACAAGATTTCTGTTTGTTAATTGTTGCAATGTTGTTGTGTCCTTCACTTTGAGAGTGAAGCGGATAGACACTGCAGGTGCTGAGGTCTCTCCTTCCTGCCCGGCTTCCACTGCAGCAGGGCTATGGTACTAGCGGCATGGGCACCTGTGAACGGGGAGCCGAGGCTACAGTCAGAGTTCACACAGGAATGTCTGGTAGAGGTGTTCTATCTGGGAATAAAGTGCTAATGGAAATATTTTATGATACCCACAACCTTGTACAATCAGGAGCCTTAGAAATATGCAGAAATGGGCCGCAGCTCGAGCTTCTGGGTCCTGATCATCTGATGAAATCAGTTAGTACAAGAACATATGTCCTAGAGAAACTCGGGCTCTCTCGAGACCTTCATTGCCTAGTGTCTCTTTTTGTTCTCTCGTTCCCTCTCTCCTTTGTCTTTTTTCATCTGTTTCTTCCTCTCATTCTGTGTTTTTTACTCTCTGGATTTGTTATTTTCCTTTCACTTCTTTGTTTTCTTCCTTTTTTCTGTCTCCTTCATCCTCACTCCTCACTCTTTCTTTTTTTTCTTTTTGAGATGGAGTCTCACTCTGTCGCCAGGCTGGAGTGCAGTGTTGCGATCTTGGCTCACTGTAACCTCCGCCTCCCTGGTTCAAGTGATTCTCATGCCTCAGCCTCCTGAGTAGCTGGGATAATAGGCACATGCCACCATGCCCTGCTAATTTTTGAATTTTAGTAGAGATGGGGTTTCACCATGTTGGCCAGAATGATCTGGATCTCCTGACCTTGTGATCCACCTGCCTTGGCCTCCCAAAGTGCTGGAATTAGAGGCATAAGCCACCACGGCCAGCCTCATCCTCACACTTTTCTGTTCTCGCTTTTCAGGGCTTAAGGCTCTGCTTGCTAAGTCTGCTGATTGTCCCCCTCTGATCATTCTTCATGGGTTTTTCTTTTTTTTTTAATTGTATTTTAGGTTTTGGGGTACATGCAAAGATCATGCAAGATTGTTGCATAGGTACACACATGGCAGTGTGATTTGCTGCCTTCCTCCCCATCACCTATATCTGGCATTTCTCCCCATGCTCTCTCTCCTCAACTCCCCACCCCCCACTGTACCTCCCCTATTTTCCCGCGAAAGACCCCAGTGTGTGATGCTCCCCTCCCTGTGTCCATGTGTTCTCACTGTTCAACACCCACCTGTGAGTGAGAACATGTGGTATTTTGATTTTCTGCTCTTGAGTCAGTTTGCTGAGAATGATGGTTTCCAGTTTCATCCATGTCCCTACAAAGGCCATGAACTCATCATTTTTTATGACTGCATAGTGTTCTATGGTGTATATGTGCCACATCTTCATTGATTTTCTAGCTCTTGTTGGCTTTGACCTGAATCCTTCCATCCAAAGTGGGTGAATGTATTACTCTCAGGGAGCAACAAGTATGGATTTTTAATGACTGTCCTGTTGTGGTGACTTTATCTGACCATGGAAAGGGTACTCACTGGGCAGCTGAGGACTTTAAGTCATCATATTCTTTCACAAACCCAGAAGATGGGCAGCTTTCACCAGAAGCTCTGCCAAGCATTGACCTCAGCCATGGACTTATACTTCCTCTTTGATGATGAAGGTTATTGTCTTTCTGATTATAGATTGAGGAAACTCGGCTTAACATTGACAAGATCTCAGAACATGTGGAGGAGGCTAAGAAACTCTACAGTATCATTCTCTCTGCACCGATTCCAGAGCCAAGTGAGTGTTGACTTAGAACTGAGTCACCCAACCATCACCCTTTCACTGGGGCTGAGGCAGCCTTGTTTTCCTGCCCTTCGTGAGCGGCAGGGGAGTTTACAAGTTACAGGGCACTACTATCCGTATTATATCATTTCCCTCTCCTTTACCTTCCCTGAGCTCCTACTGCCTGACCAGAGTCAGGGTTTCCTCTTCATGATCCCACTCGACCCATTTAGCGAGACTTTCCTGTTTCCCAGCCAGTCCCTCTCCTGACTAGCCACGACTCTCACTGCTGCTCACACACCCCGTGCCCTGTCCTGCCTCTGAGACTCTGCTTGCACTGTTTCCCCAGCCTGAAATGCGTTTCCCAGTTCCCTTTCCAAACCTTGCTAGGAAGGTTTTTTTTTTTAAATAAGGTGTTCCAAAATGGTTCAAGTTCACAGAAATCCCTTCTATCCCTAAACTTTTGTTTGTTACCACCACCAAGGCAAACTTTCCTCCCCTAACTGTTTGCACGAGCATCCAACCTTTTGGCTTCCCTGGGCCATATTGGAAGAATTGTCTTGGGTCATACATAAAACACACTAACTGTAGCTGATGAGCTAAAGGAAAGGTTTGTGCATAATTTTCCTGTTATCTGCCACCACAGATTAAAAAAAAGTCCATGCATTCCAAGGGTTGGACATGGCTGGTTTAGGGCTATATTTTCAGTTCTTAAGAACAGGGGCCGGGTGCGGTGGCTCACGCCTGTAGTCCCAGCACTTTGGGAGGCTGAGGCGGGTGGATCACGAGGTCAAGAGATCGAGACCATCCTGGTCAACATGGTGAAACCCCGTCTCTACTAAAAATACAAAAAGTTAGCTGGGCATGGTGGCGTGTGCCTGTAATCCCAGCTACTCAGGAGGCTGAGGCAGGAGAATTGCCTGAACCTAGGAGGTGGAGGTTGCGGTGAGCCGGGATCGCACCATTGCACTCCAGCCTGGGTAACAAGAGCGAAACTCCATCTGAAAAAAAAAAAAAAAAAAAAAAAAAAAAAAAAAAAAAAAAAGAACAGGGAACAAACCTGACACACTGTCACTCCACTCTTGCATTTTTCCTGTGGGCCCCATTACCTAAAGACTGAAGTGGGAACACTTTAGCAGAGCATGTGGAAATTGTCTTGGTCACATTCCTGTCTTCCCAGCCAGCCTCTATTCTGCCATCCTCTTTCTGCTCTCCACACTTCAGCCAGACGAAATCTGGCTGTTCCCCAGACATTTCCTATTCACTCGTACCCTTTACTTACGGTTTCTTCTCGTGAGATTCCTCCTCTTAGTCTCTTTCTCGACCTGGCCGACTCACAGTTCTTCAGACTCAGTCCTGCTCACCTTTGTGTTTAGAAGCTTTTCTAGGTCCCTCCAGGCTGTGCACACCTTGACCGGAACTCATACTTTACTCCACGCTGCATGTTAGAGCTGCTGACTTATTTCTCCCTTGTCCTCCACTAGACTCTAAACACCTTGCAGGAAATATCTAGATCTTCTTTCTGATTCCATAGTTTCTAGCTCTGTTCCAAAGTTGTAGTAGGGGCTGAAGGATGGCTTTTGAATGAATGGTTCTAGCTAACACTTAGTTAGCTCCATACAACCTAGGATTGCTCTGGGTGTGTAGTAGGTATGTCATAAGTATTTGCCTCATTTTAAGTTGATTAGCCTTGGTTGAAATCTCTTTTCCCCATAAGCTCCCTAGAACCTTCTCAACTGAAGCCCCCATGGTACATTCTTCCCTCTAGAAGCAAATTTCTCACAATTTTATGTGTTGCCGGATTACCTGGGAGGGTTGAAAGCGCTGGTTTTGCGGTTCCAACTCTGGGTGTTTTTATTCTGTGGACTGGGATCGGGTGCCTGGAAAATACCTTTTAGAAAACAAGCACTCTGTGATTCTGATGACAGATTCTGGGGAGTGCACTGGGATAAATACTGTTCTGGGTAGTGGATGCCTGAGAAAGCTCCCCTCCTCTGATTAGGATTGCTGTAGCTCACAAAAGAATCAGTCCTCTCCTTTCTAATGGATCCTGCCTGCCTTTGTTTACCCAGAAACCAAGGATGACCTAGAGCAGCTCACGACTGAGATTAAGAAGAGGGCCAACAACGTCCGCAACAAACTAAAGAGTAAGAAGGGAACAAAGGGAACAACCCAGTCCCCACCGCCATCTGTCTCAGCTCGCGCACCTATAATCCCCACTGCTCGGGAGGCTGAGGCAGGAGAATCACTTGAACCTGGGAGGTGGAGGTCTCAGTGAGCTGAGATCGTGACATTGCACTCCAGCCTGGGTGACAGACTGAGATTCCAGCTCACTCTGGGTCCAGCTTTCTGAACTGAAGCTACCTTGTTCAAAGTGACACCCCTTGACCCATCTTTGCTTGTGGTTTGGGCTCTGTCCCTGCAATGATCCGTCGTAGCCCCAGAAATTTACCTTTTCTTAAATCCTCACTGTACTTGAAAGAGTCCAGAAGCTAGAAGATGAGAATAAAAATGTGCTTTTAGCTGCTGAGTAGTTGTGTGACTTGGTCCTGGTTCTTAAACTCAGTCTTTCAACCTTTCTTTTCTTTCTTTCTATTTTTTTTTTTTTTTTTTTTTTTTTTTGAGACAGAGAGAGTCTCATTCTGGGCCCCAGGCTGGAGTGCAGTGGCATAATCTTGGGTCACTGCCACCTCCACCTCCTGGGTTCAAGCAATTCTCCTGCCTTAGCCTGCCAAGTAGCTGGGATTACAGGCATGTGCTACCATGCCCAGCTAATTTTTGTATTTTTAGTAAAGATGGAGTTTTACCATGTTGGCCAGGCTGGTCTGAAACTCCTGACCTCAAGTGATCCACCTGCGTTGGCATCCCAAAGTACTGGGATTACAGGCATAAGTCACTGTGCCCGGCCCATCAACATTTCTCTTATTGGTCTTATTTCCCTGGCAACTACATACTTAAAAAAAAAAAAAAAAGGAAAGAAAAAGCGTCTTGCTCTGTTGCCTAGGCTGGAAGGCATTGGCACAATTTTGGCTCACTGCAGTCTCTGCCTCTTGAGTTCAAGTGATTCTCATGCCTCAGTCTCCCAAGTGGCTGGGATTACAGGCATGCACCACCACGGTTGGATAATTTTTGTACTTTTAGTAGTGACAAGGTTTTGCCATGTTGGCCAGGCTGGTCTCGAACTCCCGGCCTCAAGTGATTCACCTACCTCAGCCTCCCAAAGTGCTGGGATTCCAGGTATGAGCCACAATGCCCAGCTACTTACATGCATTTGAATAGTCATTTTAGAGCTATATAGATGCAAGAGATATCATTCAGTCTACAGATATTTCTTGGTGGGCTAGGCATATTACCTTCTCATACCCTCACTTTCCCCATTTGGGAGAGGATAGTTCAATGAAGCTACTGTCATAGATTCAATTCTTCCAGGGCCCAGAAGATTTGCTTAGTTCTGTGGTGATAGCCTGCATTCTTGCCCAGTGTATTTGATGCATGCATGCTATTGATCAGAGGAGAAAGCATTATTGCTTAGCCCAGTTTACCATTTATTCCCCTCAAGTAAATCGCAGTAAATATTTTAACTGGAGGGGTCATTAGCAGCAGATTCCAGGAATAACAGTGATAGTGCATCTGCCACCGTGCTAGGCACTTTATGTGTCTTCTAACTTAATCTTCACATTAGTATTGTGAGGGAGGGACTGTTACTATGTTTTACAGATGAGAGAACAGGTCCATTAAGAGCGGTTAAGTGGCTTTTTTAAAATCACACCTACTAAGTGTAGGGCAAGGATTCAAGCCTAAGTCTCTTGGTAACCAAAACCCGTGCTGTTAATTGTTATGTTAAAATCTGGTTGTTGTAAAGGTTGTGGAATGTACATCCTGTGGCTCACCTGGGAGATGACCTTTTGAGGTGACACCTACCTCTTGTTCCATCTCCATGGGCTGGGGTTTGTGGGAATGAGTGAGGAAGTTTTATTGAAGAGCACGTTTCTTGGAGGAGGAGTTAGACTTTGAATATAACCTTCCTCTCCTGTTCAGGCATGGAGAAGCATATCGAAGAAGATGAGGTCAGGTCATCAGCAGACCTTCGGATTCGGAAATCCCAGGTAAGACTTTTCCTGGTCTTATGATTATCTAGTCCAATCTCTTATTATTTTTCCTTAACTGGGGAAGGATTTTTTTTTTTTTTTTTTATATAGTCCTTATTTGAAACTCAGTTTTAAGAACTGGTAGAGGGGAACTTTCCAGGTTGAAATAGGGATCAGGGCCAGAGTCCGGCCCTTTTGGCCCCTCTCCTGTACCCTTTTCTCTAAGGAGGCCCCTGAAGAGCTTCTTCAGGCTTCCTAGAGTACAGCATAGGATTTAGTGTGCTTCCTTGTTTTACAGGAGAGGAAATTAATATCTTCTCACTAAGTCATTAGTTGTCACTTTTGGAGCTAGGCACTTTAGGGGTCATCCAAGATATGATCTTTGTCTTTAAAGAATTGGCATGCCATTCAAGTGGCATAGAAAGCTATTACCTAAGACCCAGCAGGAGGATGGGATGAGAAGACGCATGTGGCCAGGTGTGGTGGCTCATGCCTGTAATCCCAGCACTTTGGGAGGCTGAGGTGGGCAGATCACCTGAAGTCCGGAGTTCGAGACCAGCCTGGCCAATGTGGTAAAACCCCATCTCTACTAAATATACAAAAATGAGCCAGGCATGGTGGTGCATGCCTGTAGTTCCAGCTACTCGGGAGGCTGAGGCAGGAGAATCGCTTGAACCGGGAGACGGAGTTCGCAGTGAGCCGAGATCGTGCTGCTGCACTCCAGCCTGGGTGACAGAGCGAGATTTCATCTCAAAAAAAAAAAAAGACACATGCATGGTACTGGCAACATCCAAAGATGTCAGGAAGAACTGGGGGTTGCCAGAGGACGCTGGGCCAGAGTGTCACCTTGAGCAGGCTCAGGAAGCAGTTTCCCCTCTCTGAGAGGTACAGGGGCAGGAGTGGGGTTTACACGTGTATGTGTGTTGGCAGCAGTGGTTGGTAGTGGTCGGGGGTAGACATAAGGGGCAGACAGGAAGACAATAGGCTTTCTGAAGGAAAAGGTTTGCTGTGGGATAGTGGGCACATAATTTTTAGTAGATAATATAGTGCCACATTCTAGAGGTCTTTGAGGAGCAGTCTAGAGAATTTGGATCTGATGTGGTAACTTACAGGCATTTGCTTCAGGCAGCAGTATATTAGGAGGATTATTATGGTAGCCATTTAGAAACCGTTTGTAAGTGGGAAGGAGGCAGGGGACTGGAAGGTCCCTAGTTAGGTTTTTGCAATGATGTTGGTCTAAATTTGCCTGGTGGTAGTGGGTTTGGAAAAGTATAAATATTGGTGATTTTCCAAAGGAAAAACCAGTAAGTAGGGCTTGATGCTGAGAGGTGAGCGAGGAATACAAATTCTTAGGAATGTTTTAGCTTAGGCATCCAGGGCTGTTGAGAGAACATCTGCTTAGAAGCAAGAGAAGTTGGGGAGATGAGTTTAGGGTAAGAACTCAAGGATCTTTGGTAAGTATGACATGTGGGAAGGGAATCTGACAGTTTTAGAATGCAAGTGTTGTGCTGCAAAAATGCTACTAGTCCACGTGGCTGTAGGGCTTAGAGATTTAGAGATGACCGCTGGCCTCACAATTACCTTGTGAGGTCAGCAGTAAACCGGTTTCAGTAAACTGGTGCTGAAACCATGCTTTGGAAAGGGCAGTGGACTCTCCCAGGGGCGCAAAGCTAGGAAACAAAAACCTTGGGTTGATACCTGGTCGATTCCAAGTCCAGTGCTACTGTAGATGGCTAAGTGGGGACGGGGAGGGGTTCCATAACAGTTACAGAACCACTCGGGCTGACTGCATTTTACATTGTCCCACAGCACTCTGTCCTTTCTCGGAAGTTTGTGGAGGTGATGACCAAATACAATGAAGCTCAGGTGGACTTCCGAGAACGCAGCAAAGGGCGAATCCAGCGGCAGCTCGAAATCAGTATGTGCTTGAGGTTTGGCGTGTGCCCTCCACCTTTCCTGCCACCTGGTTGTCCATCCCAAGTTTTGAGGCCCTGGGAGAGCAAGCAGCCTGCATACTTTGTGCCTAAGTCTAGGGCAGATCCTATTGCACTGGCATATCCTGAATGCTGTGCTGTAGGCTGAAAGGTGACACCGTGCTTATCAGGCCCAAGTAGTTTTATTGTATGGGGTCCAGCATCTTCTCCTATAGAGAAGGGAATTGCTTGCCACACAGTTGCTGTCCTGTGCACTCATGGTATCATTTTGCTGTCTGTTTGACAGCAAAGCACATTTACGAAATAAAAAGTGTGGTGTAAGTTGCTGGGAGGAATAGAGAAATAAATAAAGCCATACCCTTTAGGAATTTAGTAGTGTGGAAGGCAGGGCCCTTCGGGGTGGAAGGTGCTTTGGGTGAGAGGAATGGTATGAACGTAATCAAGAAAGAGCGAGTGTGTTCAGGAGTGGCAGGTTGTCCAGGGTCTGGGAAAAGGGTGTGTCTGGAGTAACTTAAGGTTAGGATGGATTGAGGGAGGGCTTGCCCATGAACTGGCATGTTATGAGGGCCTTGGACGCCATAGTGTAGTGAATGGGGCAAAGAAATGCTCTGAGCTGGGAAGCAATGTAATGAGATAATGTGCTTTAGGAAGGTAATTGCTGATACTGTTTAGGATGGCTTGGATTAGGGGAGAAATAAGATGAGTCAGGAGACAATTGGAGTGTTGTAAAGGCCATGGTCTTTATAGGGAAGTCACGTTCCTAGTTTTCAGGGACCTTATCAAATGCTGTTTCACTGTGATCTTATATTTGATGCTCTACTTCTTTTGTTATAAAGCCGGCAAAAAGACAACAGATGAGGAGCTGGAGGAGATGCTGGAGAGTGGCAACCCAGCCATCTTTACTTCTGGGGTGAGTGCCCTGTGTGCTTGGATAGCGCATCCCTCTCATGAGCAGGGAGGCCACTGTGGAGCTCATGCAGTCCAGCAGGCGGAGGGGGTGCTGCAGGTGCAGGGAGTTCAGGGAGGCAAGAAGCTCCCCAGGAGTGTGTGTGAGGGCTGACAGGGGCAGCTTTTCTTGCAGGGGTAGCTGACCGTCTCTCTGTGTGTGGCCTGTTGTAGATCATTGACTCACAGATTTCCAAGCAAGCCCTCAGTGAGATTGAGGGACGGCACAAGGACATTGTGAGGCTGGAGAGCAGCATCAAGGAGCTTCACGACATGTTTATGGACATCGCCATGCTGGTGGAGAATCAGGTAAGTGGCAGTGAGTCCCAGCATGGTGGGGAGGGAGGAGAGGAAAGCTCAGGGTCTCTGGAGAACAGTAGGAAGGGAATACTGGAAGCCAGTGACAAGGTGGGAGAACCATTGGGAATTTGCATAAAAGACAAATGGAATTCCATGAGAAAGTGTGCATTCAAATTGAACGTTGACACTTTGGGTGATCTTGGCCTTTTCATTCTTGCTCGTCCTTTTGGCCTTGCAGTCGTTGATAGTTGACATAGAGGTTGATGTGTTCTGTCAATTACCTAGTTCCCCCAGATTTAAAAATTTAAAAATTTATTTTTATTTTTAAGATGAGGTATTGCTCTGTTGCACAGGCTAGAGGGCAGTGGCATGATCACAGCCCACTGAAGCTTGATCTCCCAGGCTCAAGCGGTCATCCCAGGATTTGTCTTTTTTCTTTCTTATCTTTTGTAATAATCAGCGATGGGGGTTCCTAATGGTGATGCTTTGAAACAGTTTCCTGATACGGACTAGTTCACTGATGACATTGAAAATGTGATCTTTTCTCTGGTCCACAGAGAAAGCTTAGGTTTAACAGAAGTTTTTGTTTTGTTTTTCCTGTTTGTGTTTTTCTAAAAATTTTGACACCTTTCACTAAGGCACAAAGCAGACAACAACATGAATGAAGGAGTAGTAAAATAGCATTTACGGAAAGACTCACAACACTCATCGTGCTTAGTTTAACAGCTCACTTTGTCCCAGGCATGCTTGCTTGGGATAGAGTTCTGGATTGCCTGCATAAGGGGCTAGTGTCATGTAGTCAGATGGTTCCCAGTTCCTACGGGACAGTTAAGTGTGCCACAGGGTCACGGTGCTGTGCACTGTTGCCATGAACTTCCAGCTGCTCTGACACCTGGATAGGAGAGAAAATTATTTCCATAGTAGGTAGACTGCAAAACCTAGTTGAAGCCCCAGCACGGCTTGACTGGTTTTTGATGTTGGTTCCCTGCTGAGGGCCTGGGTGGTTTCCCCGATTCCCTACTGGCCTCCGAGACCATTTCTCAAGTCCCTCCATCCCACCTTTTCTTTTTCCCCACACTGCTTTGCTGAGGAACTGGCTTGAGATTCAAGTGATGGTAAGTGCCTTGTTCTGTTTACAGACTACCATAAAGTGAAAGAGTAGGGTTGAGGAGGGTCTGAGTAGTTGAGGAGAATTCCTAAGAAGCCTAAGATTCATTGTTATGATTAAACTTCCCTGTCAGGAAGTAATTGCTAGGAAACGGTTGGGAATCTTATCAAGAGACCACTGTCTGGAAGGGAAAATATAACCAAATAGCCTGGGTAAACCCAATATCTGTCACTTAGAGGGCCTGGAAATAACTTAGAGAAAGCAAATGTTCCCCACCTCAGCTACTTATTAAGCACCTACTGTGTGCCAGGCACTCTTCTGCAGTTACTGAATGTACTCAATTCAGGCTGAATGATGTTGCTTCAGGTCTGAATGACCAGGAAGAGGCCAGCATCCTGGTGATGTCCTAAGAACATGAGATATCCTTATTTTGGTTCTTCTCCATGTGTTTAAGTGTGAAAAATATATAAAAAAGGTTGTCCAGGGATACCTCAGAGTGTATTTATATGTAGTTACCAGGCATCTAGACAGTATGTTCTGGATGCCTGGTGGAGTGCTGGGCACAGAGAAGTAGTAAAATTCAGTGAATGCTTCTTGGACAAGTGACCACCACCCCAACCCACCACCAAGGACTGAGGAGCCACACGTAGTCCCACGGAAAATGTGAATGGGTGTCCTGTGGAAGGTCACGCATCAAGGTTTCTGGGTTCTCCTCTTACCACTGAAGATGAGAAGAAAGAGAATCCCTTCCCCACGTTGGCTAGGACTGTCCTGGGGCATTTATTGGGTGTGACCAGAGTCTGTTCTTTGCAGGGTGAGATGTTAGATAACATAGAGTTGAATGTCATGCACACAGTGGACCACGTGGAGAAGGCACGAGATGAAACTAAAAAAGCTGTGAAATACCAGAGTCAGGCCCGGAAGGTGAGACTCTCCTGTTGCCTTCAGAGAAGAGAGTCCATTTGGTTAGCTGTGTCTTGCTCTTTCTCTTCCCTCTCCCTATCTCTGTTTCTGCTGCCGCCACCTCTTGCGTCTGGGGAAAGGGATCCATGATTGACCGTATTGAGAACAACATGGACCAGTCAGTGGGCTTCGTGGAGCGGGCCGTGGCAGATACCAAAAAGGCTGTCAAGTATCAGAGTGAAGCCCGGAGGGTGAGCACCTTAGTCTCAGCTGTCTTACCGGCTTCTCCTCTCCCTGGCCATCCCCACCTGTGTCCTTGAGCCCACGCCTCCCTCCCTGTCGTGGCCTCGTCAACCCCTCCCTCAGCCTTTCCTAGAACCAGCTGGCTGCCCTTCCTTCTCAGGTGTGCCTTGCATGGATCTGGCTCACAAGCTGTCTCTCCAGGAACCCACACTTGAAAGGCAGTTCTATAGGATGGATGCATGGCCCAGGTGTTGCTGCTGATCTTCTCCTGGACTTAGCTCATGAGACTTTCAGATGTTACGCTTGACTCCTCTGTTGAGAAACCCTCTTCATTGTCTTTCACTCCAGGCTCCCAAACCCTGCCTCCCTTCTCTTTTTCTCTACCTTGTACTTGGCCCTTGCTAACTGCTATGTATACATTGTCTTATAGCTGATGCAGTACCTGTTATTTCTACTTTATAAAGGAGACAGTTGAGGGTCAGGGGTTCAGTAACTGACTTCAGGCCACCGAGTGAGTAGAGGCACTGGGATTCAAGTTTAGGTCCCAGGCATTCTCTTTCTACCACACCACCATATTTGCCCACCCTCTGGTGCCCCTCCTGCTTAAGGACTTCAAGGCTTCTGGGCTCATGACTGTGGGTATCCAGCTCTGGTGGCTTCTGCTTTTTAGACTTTTCTCCTTTGACTAGTTCTCCTGGGCTCTGATACCATTGTTCTTTGTTTTTCTTCCAACTTTACCTATTGCTTCTACAGGCATTTAGGGGACTGGGAAGTTATTTGATGGGGTGAATCCGGAATGGATGGCATTTTCTCATATCCAGGCAGTGTACCGGGTCTGACAGGTAGAAGTGTACTTTACGGGACAAAATGGACAAAAGTAGGAAATGAGGACTCTATCAAAAATGCCTTTACATTCCCTCTTAAAAAGGGAAAAATCAGCCACTTTTTATCTTGGCCAAGTGCTCCTTAGAGACCCCATGATAGTGGTTCTGATCATATCTGTCCACATATGCAGAACTACAGTGTGAGCTGAGAACTGAGAGCGACCTCATATTTCCCTTTGCTGGTATTGCTAGCCTGTAAGTAATTTAAAAAATGTAAAATGTCCTAGGCTGGGTGTGGTGTTTTATACCTGTGATGTGATTACAGGTATAAACCACCATACCTAGCCTCCCTTTTGGGAGGCTGAGGTGAGAGGATTACTTGAGCCCAGGAATTTGAGACCAGCCTGGGCAACATGGGAAGACTCTGCCCCTACAAAAATAAAACAATGAGCTGAGCATGGTGGTGCATGCCTATAGTCCTAGCTACTCAGGAGACTGAGGCAGGAGGATCACTTGAGCTCAGGAGGTTGAGGCTGCAGTGAGCCATGATCGTGCCACTGCACTCTAGCCTGAGTGACAGAGAAAAATCCTATCTTAAAAATAAAGTATCCTAGAAGGATGTCTGTATGTAGAGATGTTGGCTTCTCATTCAGATTGGTAAGATATTTTCTATGTAGAGGTGACAGAGCTTGGGTTTTGGATGAGTTGTTTTGTTTTTTGGTTGTTTGTAATAATTTGTTTTTGTCTTATTCCTCTCTCCAGAAATTGATAATTATCATTGTGGTAGTAGTTGTGTTGCTGGGCATTTTAGCATTGATTATTGGACTTTCCGTTGGGCTGAAATAAGAGTGGCCTAAGAGGCTGCTGCACTGAAATGTAAGTAAACGAATGGTTCTTGGGGACTCTGGATTTGGCTCCTCAAGAGGAAATTAGCTTGGGATTTCAAATTCGTCTTCTTTCCCACTATTATTGTCCTTGGACACACTGAGCTTTCTAAAACTTTTCAGTAGCCTGTGGATTCCTTATCTCCTTACAGTTCTATTCTTGGTTTCTGGCTGCAGTACATGGGTGAGGTCTCTGTTTGTTCCTATCCTGTATATTCTGTCCCCAATCTCTGTCTTGTCATATTTCTCACCACTTCTCCCAGTGTACCTGAACACCCCTTTCAACTCCCCATACTCAGGAAGCATGCTCCTAGGTTGAGTACATTGGATCTGGGGTCTGCCTTGGATCTGGGGTCTGTCTTCTGAATTCTTACTGATTTTCATGGATGTTGGGCTTTACTTTCTGTATCCTTTTCAATGTAAATGAAGCTCTGAATTGGAATTTGGGTCTGCAGGGTTTTCTTTGTTGCTGATCGGTTGGGTCTTAAATGATGATAATTAACACACTTTTGAGTGTTGCGTTGTACCAGACAATGTACTAAACACATTAGACATGTATCATTGAATCCTTACAACATCCTATGAGACAGATACAGTATGATGCACATTTTACAGACAAAGAAACTCAGTCAAAGAGAAGTTAAATAACAGGGCCAAGTTCACACAGCTAATAGGGGACCAGCTTCTCTTTGTAAAAGAAGGTAGCCATTATCATTACCTATAAAGCCTGGAGAATCTCAGAGGATAGTGATGTTAAAATTTAGACTGTTAATTTTTTTGAAAACTTGTTAAAAATTGTAGACATACTACTGAATCACTTTTTTTTTTTTTTTTTTGAGACAGTCTTGCTCTGTCACCCAGGCTGGAGTGCAGTGGCATGATCTAGGCTCAGTGCAACTTCCGTCTCCTGGGTTCAAGCGATTCTCCTGCCTCAGCCTCCTGAGTAGCTGGGATTATAGGCACATGCTACTGCACTCGGCTCATTTTTATATTAGGTAGGGGTTTTGCCATGTTGGCCAGGATGGTCTTGAACTCTTGACCTCAGGTGATCCTTCCATCTCAGCCTCCAGAGTGTTGGGATTACAGGCGTGAGCCTCTGCACCCAGCCTGAATTGCATTTAATAGTAGTGAGCATATCAAGAATCTGGCTATTGGGACTATTAAGACTTTTGTGACTTTTTAATTATTATTTTTTTCTTTTTTACTCCACATAATGCAACTAAAGACTTTTGTGACTTAAATTTTTTTTTTTTTTTTTTTTTTTTTTTTTTTTTTTTTTTTTTTTGAGACGCTGTCTCATTATGTTTGTCACCCAGGCTGGAGTGCAGTGGTGTGATCTTGGCTCACTGCAACCTCTGCCTCCCAGGCTCAGGTGATCCTCCCGCCTCAGCCTCCTGAGTAGCTGGGAGTATAGGTGTACACCAACACGCCAAGATAACTTTTATATTTTTTGTAGAAACAAGGTTTTGCCATGTCACCCAGGCTAATCTTGAACTCCGGCACTCAAGTGATCTGCCTGCCTTAGCCTCTCAAAGTGCTGGGATTACAGGCATGAGCCACTGTGCCCAACCAGTGACTTTTAAAATATTTTTCTGAATAAAATATAGCATGTATTGTTAAAAAACTGACCTATAAAATACAGAGAAAATAAAAGTACTCAACTTTTAATATTATTACTGATAACCTGTGGCATGTTCACACATTCAGGCATAGTTTTACATAGTTCAGATTATATTATCCATAGTTTTGTGCCCAGTTACAAAATTATAAGCACCATTCCACAGCATTAAAATCTTTTTGTAAATCTAATTGTCAACACGAGATTGTGGTCATACTCACAAATATTTAACATTTTCACAATGTTGGAGGTTTATGTTATTTTACTGCATACACACTGTCAGCTTAGTGTGACTAATCTTATTTAATATTTTTCTCACTTAAAGTTTCTCTTTATTACAAACTCATATGAATTGGATTACTGAGATAATAGGCATAAACATTTTTTTTTTTGAGACGGAGTTTCGCTCTTGTTACCCAGGCTGGAGTGCAATGGCGCGATCTCGGCTCACCGCAACCTGTGCCTCCTGGGTTCAGGCAGTTCTCCTGCCTCAGCCTCCTGAGTGGCTGGGATTACAGGCACATGCCACCAAGGCATAAACATTTTTAAGACTTGGCACAGAATACCATGGCAGTACCCAGAGTTGTGCCTTCCTTTTATACTGTTTCAGTGTGTCTCTCCTTACTCCTCCTCCTTCCATGTGACCAAAGGTTTAAAAGTCAGCTCATTATAGCATTGAATATTCAACTTCATCTTGAAAAGTAAGCAACAGTGATATTAACAGCCTCCCATAGACAGGTGGTTGCTTGATTTTTTCCCCCCTCTTTTTTCTGGCACTTGGAGACTAGCACTTGACTTTTTTGTGTGAAGTTTAAATTTTGTTTTGGCTCTGAACAATCTGATTGGAATAGATGTTGAGATTTTAGAAACATATAATAGTTGTTATTATCCCATGATGAAATATATGCAAATTCATGGTGCCCCTTTCCATTCCTAATTCCAGGACTTCAGCATGTGTATGAATCATTTTTTGAGGACGTAACTCCTCAAAGAGGAGCAGACTAATTAATATGTTGTTTTTGGTTGACTAACTCTATATTTAACATGCTAAAATGCTGAACAGCTGTTAAGCTGCTTTTACTGTAGTTTATTCCGTGTTCCCTAATAAAGTCAAGACTGATTGTTGCCTTGGTCTGGATTCCCCTCTTCCTCCATGTCACCCAAGGGAGACAGGTCTCTGAACAGGATGGAAGGAAGACAGTGTGTTTATATTTCCTAGTACTGTGCCAGCTGCTTGGGCTAGGATCATAGTATCCTCATGTTACAGATGGGGAAAGAGCAATGAAGTTAAGGAACTTGCCCAAGGCTACATAGCTCATAAGGTGGAGCAGCCATAATATGACCCCTGAACTTTTTCCATATACTTCGAATTGCGCCCTCTGCTTTCTAAAAGAAAGGCAGCGGGGAGTTCATGAAGATTGAGAACCAGAAAGCAGCTCCTGCAAGCCTGTCTTCAGGAGAGTGCTGCTGTGGGCCCTGCACAGCAGGGATTCACGAGGAATTGTTCCTTCCCACCGCATCCTTTCATGGGTGTGGACAGCCTGTGAGAAGGCTTAGAAAAGGCCTAGAGGCTTTTCTATTTTTTCCCCCTCTCACAGTAGGGCTTTGTGTTCTTTGTACAGTGGGATATTTAACTCCAGGTTCTGTCTTGGGTTTGTCTATTTCACAGTGAGTTCTGGGCTTTCCTCCCCACCTTCTCCGTTTGTGGATGACTTCTGTTGCCCTTTGCCTCCTTCCTGTGTACTGATCAGCTCCTCCTTTCCCTGCCTCCTAGAAACTGATTTCACTCCAGCCTGGTGTGGCCACCCTTGTCTTCAGATGAGAATGGAGTCTGAATGGCCTTCCTGAGAGCGAGTGCAACCCGTTCCTTTGTTTCCTTGTGACCACCCTTGGACCTGACACTCGGCTAACAATCCCGCCCTGGGGGAATGTGATCTACCTGATGCGACCCTGAGTTCTCCTCAGAGCCTCCTCCTGCCCCACCGGCTCTCAAGTACCTTTTCTCCTGGACTGTGTGAACCCACCCTGCTTCCTTCCTCCCTGTCCTGTGTCAGATTTTGCCTTGCACCTGAGAAAGCCCCTAGGAGATCTGCCTAAGGTGCCGTATTTTTCTACCTCATGGAATATTCTCCCAGAAATTGCAATGTATTTTTTTAGGGGAGTATCTTCAACAAAGCAGAAGGATTCTTCTAAGTATGGCAACAATAAGGCTTGCATCTTAGTCTTCTACCTGGCAGGATGCCAATCCTGTTGGTTGTCCCTATGTCCTGAAAACATGAGGGACTGGCAGATGTCATTTTGGTCTGAAGAGTTGACTTGTTTGAAATTCAGCCTTAAATTAAGCCCTTAGTGGTTTTTCTATATGTTGTAGTCTCTCATATTCACTTGAGGGATCAGGATGATGCAGTCATCTGAGGTTATGCTTTGCAAAAGGCTGAGGGTATGGAATATTTGTTTCCATGTCTGAGTCTTAGAAATTGCTGTGATGCTTTGTGAAGCTATTGCCTCGGGGCCAAAAATAATCAGGGATTTTAAACTGGGTAAGGGACAAGGTGCTAGAATCTTAAGCTCTGGAAATATTTCATGACACTGGTGTATTCACTCATGTGTTCCAGATGTATTCTAATTGTGTATGAGATGTTTGTACACATGCGTGTGTCTCTCAGGAAGTAGGAAATAAAAATGGAAGATACTATGACCTCAAAAAAAAAAAAAAGCCAACTTTGAGCTAGGATAAAAATTGGGTAAAGGACATTTGCTTACCTGCAAATGAATCACTATGGAAATGTGGTCTTCTCGTATCATCAAGAAACTTGTTTTCTGGATGAGTACTGGGAGAATAAAAATGAGAACTCTGGAGTGAGCTAAACTGATGCCAATTAAGTTTTTCTGCTTAGCAGACAGGAAGTATAATTTTTTGACAACCTTCCCCACATGCTGCCTGTGCTAGGCTTGTCCTGAGAACGTCCCTCAGTAATTTAATATTTATGTGGCCTACAGGATGTCCCATCTGCAAGGCTGAGTCAGTTGGGGAACACCAGAGGCTACACAGGACCTCTTCTTGCTACTGGGTTAATGAGCTTGGTGGGTTCTTTGTCTCACCCATTTCTTATCATGTAAGCAGCAGCAGCAGCCGCCAGGAAATCTTCAAGTGTAGCACAAGTCTGTGCTAACCCAGTGGTAAAATCCATTAGATCCCCTGCTGGTCTCTGGCAGTCTCCTTGATTTGGGGTACCATGTATATTTTCAGCTTTGATTTTAATGCTTTCTAGGATGGGGTGAGCACCCTTAATCAAGGCACTATCCGTTAGCTTCCTTTGTGAAGGCTACTTACTGCCAGTCACAATCCAGCACTCAGACAGAGCCAAGGGGATATTCTGTTGCCCACGGCTATGATGTCAGACAGTGCATGGGTTCTAGCAACAAGAAACAAGATCTCCAAAGGCCTTTGCTCCCCTCTGACATGGAGGCCTGGGGCTTACAGTTTGGAATACAACATGTGAAGGGTTTTTTTTGTTGTTGTTTATACTTTTAAAATGTAAATTTGATTATTTTATTGCTAATTTAAAAATAAAAATGACTTTATATTGATTGTGAAACAGTTTCCTGGCTCTATCTCTGTGTAGAAACACTTAGTGATTTGGTGCCACCATGTGGTGATTTTAATTCAGGTTTTAGAATGCAGCTCAAATCTTTTTAAGCCATAGTTCAAAAGTTCAATTTTTGAACATGGTTTAACTCCCACAGAATACAGTGTCACTATGTTTGTGTTTCAGATTGAGGTGTTCCCCCCAAAAGAATTTGGTTCAGTCCTCGAGAGTATCTGGCTCTAGGAGGAAATGGGGAGATCTGTCATGATGTTAGCTAGAAGGCAGAATGACCATACCAAACATCCTCTGGGGCTCTGATCTAAGTTTTGAATCTCTCACCAGAAATAACATTTCCATGAACATTCTGGGTTCTAGAAGCCAGATCCATCTCCTTTGTCCTTCTGTTGCTCTCTTCCTTCATACCCTCTTCCATGCCCACATGCAATTGTCTCCCTTCCTGCAGAACGCTTTTGCAGTAGTTTCTCATGTGTTCTTTCTTTCCTTGTCTGGATGAGCAGAAGAAGATCATGATCATGATCTGCTGTATTATCCTTGCGATCATCTTAGCTTCCACCATTGGGAGCATATTTGCCTGAAAAAGGTGAGCCATCTGTGGGGAGGGTCAGGCCTTCTTTTACTTACCCGAAACCTTTGTGTTCTGGGGACACTCTAGGTGCCTTAATCTGGGTGGGATTAGGTGCTAATAAAGGTTAGAGAAAACTAAGGAAAGGGGTGTTTCAGAGACAGAAAAGGGAGCGAAGAATGAACTGTTAGCAGGTAGTCTGTGGGAGGAGAGGGGGAAGACAGAAGGTGGCGATCTGTCCTATAACCAGGTGTGGCACAATGCTTTGTACAGGTCAAGGATATTGACTCCTGCTAAATAGTTTGAGCCTTGATATCTGGAAGTGCAAAAGGAACAAGAAGTAGTTCTTGCATTAGATGCATCTTGAACTTTTTGGAAGAGGGCCGGCCACACAGTAAACTCGAATTAAGTTTCTTCCCTTTCAAGGTTAATGAAAATTAACACAGCCTTGTGTATAGTCCCTTACCCCTGAGTAAGAGGGATTTGGTGATCCCAGCAACAAACACCATGCTATATAATCTATGACTTTTTTCCCTTCATTTTTCTGTTATCTCCCACAGCCCTCACGGATTGGTCAACTGACATATGTAATCCTCCTTCCACTTCTGTGGTACCATCACTTCTCCACGCAGACTCATCAGCTTCTCCTCTTTCCATTATGAAACTTCTTAGGAAACAGGGCATCAATCAACTACTTATTAAGAATTATGCAAAGAACAAACTTAAAAATACAGATTGGGTGGAGGACAGGGACAGGAAGTAGACAGATAGCTGATTAGGCAGACGGTTTAAAGGAGGACTGCAGGGTAGAGAAGAAAGCAGAGTGGGTCCCTCTTTAGGATGTGAAACTCAGAGCCTGCACGTGCAGCACGGCGGTGAAGGGGCAGATTATCATAGTGCACCTAACTTAACAGGTTCTTACTTGAATTGCTGTGACTTGGTCAAGTCAGGGCACTTCTGCTCTTCGAGGTCTCACCTTTGACCACCTTACATCCGTTTCCCTCTTTCAGGCTCCAGTAGTACTGTAGTCTTAAAAGTGAAGTTTATCTAAGGATAGCCACATGCCTATCTTGCTCACTGCTGTGTCCCCACTTTTTAGCACAGTGCCTGCTGCTTACAGGTACTCACGTATCTGCTGACTTATCATTAAGCTCTTACTTCAGTCATGGACAAATCCTTGGGTTTGACTCCTAAACGCTTTAGGGTACCAATGAAAATATGGTTTGTTATTATCAGAGGCTGTGTAAAGCTGCTTGGGAATGGGCTGATCTATTTAGGCAAAAATGCTACCAACCCTTCTCCCCATTACCACATCAACTTTAAAGTGCTTTTTCTATGGGTGGTGATGGTGGACTTCTATCAGCAGCCTCTTAATCTGTGGGGAATATGGCTGGCCCCAGGGCTGTGGTTTAATAACTAAATACAGGCCCACAAAATAAAAGAAACAGGTTTATAGTATGACTGACCTCACACATCAGTGGCACACTCTGTGAACCATAACAAAGAACAGATAAAGGTGTCAGGTGAGAAAGGTAAAATGAGGTTATCACTCACTTCACCTCTCACCTGATTTGTGTCGCTAGCTGAAACTGCTGGCCAGTAATATAAGTGTAAGAAACTGTTATAGGCTGGGTGCAGTGGCTCACACCTGTAATCCCAGCATCATGGGAGGCCGAGGCACCTGAGGTAAGGAGTTTGAGACCAGCCTGACCAACATAGTGAAACCCCATCTCTACTAAAAATACAGAATTAGCCAGGCAAGTGACTCATGCTACTTGGGAGGTTGAGGCAGAATTGCTTGAATGCAGGAGGTGGAGGTTACAGTGAGCCGAGATCGTGCCACTACTGCACTCCAGCCTGGGCAACAAGAGCGAAATTCCATCTCAAAACAAAAAACAAAACAACAAAAAAGAAGCTGTTCTAAATACTGTCCCCAGCTCCATTCAAGCTTCAGTTGTGTTCAGCTTTAAAACAAGCTATGTGAATATATGTTCTAGTGCAGATAACTTTTTGTGATTTAGTTAGAAGAATTTCACTAAAAATTCATTTAAAAAAAATCACAGTATACAACTGTGAGGAGCACACAATTGCTGAGTTTGTACTTCTGAAAGTAAATTATTACTTGGATACTTAATTTTTTAAAAAAGTGAGATTAAAAAATATTTTGGTCAGCGCTGTATTCTACCCACCTTCAAAAGCCAATGGTTTACTATTTCTATTCATTTGTGCTTCCTGTAGTTTGAATAGGGAATAGAAGACTGCAGCTGGCTATCTCTGGAAAACATTAATCTGGGCAAACAGGGAGCTGGAGCTGTGGGGATGAGTCCTAGGGGGCCCTCATTCACTAGCAGTTAAGAATTTACATGTTGCATGGCACATAGCACTGTACTGGATTCTGCAGGGGCACAAACAGAGAGCCAAACACCCTCCCTCTTTGGAGAATTTCAGACCTAGAAAAGGCCACAGCTTTAACTTTTGCTATTGGTTCCTTTGCTAAAAGGCAAAGGGTATGTTCCTTGCATATTGTCCAACATTCCCATTCCAAGATTGAGAGAAGATGGGTAGCTGGGCATCAATAAATGTTGAATCAATTGACCTATGTACTGTTGTTTTTTTCTTACACTAAAAATGTGTTTTTACCTAGTAAAATATCACAGAAACTGGCTCCCGAAGTGTATACATATAAAAGGCAGTAAAGTTAGACTCGCATCATAGATGGCGGAACGCAAACATCTGTTTCAGCCTTCATGTTCACCTTACATCCCAGGAGAACCAAGAGCACTTTACAGTCATTGAGGCCTATTTTAAAATCTTCTAAGGGATTAAGAATGACCAATGAGAATTTATAGCCTGATACTCAAATTTTATTTAATGAAAATATAATAAAGTTTTCATTTTAAATCAACAAATGTCATTGTTTTTCAGAAATCATCTACTCATATGCTGCTCCTTAGTTATGACTTTAGAGCCACCCAAAGACTTAAGTGGGTAGGCTGAAAAGTGCAGCATCCTTCTTTCAATAGCCCATACAGTTATCTCCTACAGTCACTACACACGTTCGGGCATGTAGAACTTGCCCCAGTATTTCCCCTTCTGCGTCAAGTCATATGGGCTCAGTACTTTCCGAATGCCCAGCATGTTGGCAGTGGCTATTCGCTCAAATGTCCAGGGGTTCTGGTTGTTACGTTCTCTTTCCTCTTGATCTTTCCGCATCTTCGCTAGAGTCTCGCGGCTCACAGCCTTTGCTGCAAAGGGCAACTTGTGGGCCACCTGGTCAAGGAAACCTCGCACTTCTTCGAATTCACAACGCCCACCCATCTCTACTATAAGGCGGCCAGTCTTTACAGGTGTCACGTAGTGGTCAATGGCACCTTTGCCTCCCCCCATGCGGTGCCCAACACTTTTGCGAGTGATGGGCTTGAAAGGGGCTGGTACTCGCCATATGGCAAACATGTTCTTGGGGTCCATAGAGCGGTTGATTGTCAGGCGTATCATTTCAAAGTGGCCCCAGCGGAGGTAGCCACCACCCAATGCCTAAAAGTGAATGGGAGAATTACAAACACATGTGACTTCGATATCTTCCATGGGCTCTACTATTATGTCTCTACTATTATGTCTCTACTATTATGTAGTAAATATGGCTTCAATGATACAATTGAAAATACAAATTTAAGGTCTAATAAGTTCCATGGAGGAAAAGCATAGGGTGCACAGTAATAAACAGAGTGAGGGGGGACCCACTTCAGTGGAGAGGCAGGGAAGGCTTCTTTTAAGAGGTGACATCTAAAGCTAAGGCCAGAATAAAAAGAACAACCAGCCAAGGGGAAACAGAGCAGTGTGCCAGGCATAAGAAAGGCTTCTGTGTAGGCCCTGGCACAACAGTGGGCTTGGCGAGTTGAACAGAAGCCAATGTGGCTGGAGTAGAGTGAGGAATGGGGAGAGCAGGCAGGAGGTTCTGAGAGGTCAGTGGGGGTGATCATGTAGGCTGCAGGAAGAGGACTTTAGAATATCACTCTGGCTGCCTGTGGAAAATAAATCTAGGGCACACCCATTTGTGTAGCTGCTGACATCAAGTCTTCATGGAAGCTCGATCTTTCTGCATCTTTGCTAGAGATACTTCAACAAGTAAGGAAACAGCTCTTTTCCACAACCTAAATTGTGGATAGTTTTATTTTTTTCAGGGCTTGAAAAGATCTCATGATCTGATTATGGAGCAAATTAGGTAGCCCCTTCCTTCTCCTGCTTTTACATTATTTTCACTCTACATTAAAAAAAAAAAAAAAAAAAGAGGTATAACCCAAATGTTTACTGGGTACCCAGTAGCCTCTGTACACATGAGTTTAGAGAGCAACTGGTGGCAGTTCTGATAAAAACTGTAGAGGAAGAGACTACAATTAAGAAGTATGAGATTCGGTTACTCCCTAGC